AAAACCCTCCCTGCAGACACCAAAGCACCTCTAGGGGGGCTGCTGGAGGAACAATTGTCCTCTCCTCTGTGATTTGGAAGGGGAGGTCAGTGAAATTAGGGGTGACGCAGCACCGGGCGTTGAGGAATGGAAAGCACGAGATGTTTCACCGCATTGGATTTGCATAGTCTGGGTCAAGCAGACAAAAGACAGGAATATCATCCTGTGAGGGAATGGATCCCATCAGGATAGAAATAACTCAGGGTTTAGTGCAGTCACTTTGAACCTTAATACAGAGATTTAGTATCAGGCTCACTTGGAAAATCAAACAAATAAACTTTTGCAAGCTCACAAGGGGAAAAGCTGGAGCACAGCAAAAACCCAGCAGCAGGTACCTGAATTTAAATTCCTGAGGGAGTAAAACCATTCACAAACCTGGGCTGAATTCTGCGCCTTTTTCGGTCTTTTGAAATAAATCGAAGGGTGGGGAGGTGATTTGGAAAATGCAATCAAGCTACATTCCAAGTTGCCATTCAAATGTAACCAAATTCCAACTCGTACTGAATTAAGGAGCCTCTTAATCTGTTGTTCGAGATTAAATGGAATATTTTGGTTTCAGCCAAGGTGATTCTTTATTGTCTTAACTGCTGCATATTGGAAAAGCCTGGGTGGGGCTGAGTCTGACTCAAGCAATTTGTGTTTTCTTTTTCTAGACACAATGCCAAAATATCCATCATTCCCCCAAACTTCTCCTGACCTTTAAACCCCAATCCAGCCACTCTCTTCAGGTTCCACCCTTTCAACCTTCTGCAACAATTAACTCTGTGTTCTTGGCTTGACCCACAGCAGAGACCAAACCAAGGGAAAAGGAGAAGTGAAACCCAGACCCAAACACAAAACCCGGAGTACAAAAATTCCCACTGGATAATCCGTTCCTACGCAGCCTGTGAGGTGTTTTCCATAGGACCACTGCTTTGCATAAATAGAATAAACCCCCCCAAAGCAACTTCCCAAGGAATTTACAGCTCTGAGCCCAAAAGGTGACTGCAGCTGTCTCAGTATTTCTGTAGCCCATGCCAATATTTACACAGCATGTCTGCCCAAAATTAGATAAAGAGTAGAAGCCACAAGGTGAGGACCACCCCACCAGGTGGGTATCACTGGCTGAGATATTTTAAGGCTTTTTAAAGGCTCTATACATTAAATTTTCATAAATTTTGATATAATCTAGAATTCAAATCCAGTTTTACACCTCAAGCCAGCAGCACTTCTGAATGAACAATTGGCAAATGGCTCTTTCAGGAAAATAAACTCCTGAATATTGCCCAGAATCACAGAACACGAATCTGAAATCCAGCCCTGAATGAAACGTTAAATGTTTCCAAAACTATAATTATTTTTTTTTCTTTTAATTTATTTCAGGTAAAAAAAACGATATCAGAATCCAACTTACTCAGTTCACCGAGGAGAGGCCAAGAGAACCTGCTGGAAGGTTTCTGAAGCAGGAATTGCCTTATATACCTGCCTGGACCACCAGGCTGATGCAAGAAAATAACGTCATATTTGGGCATTAGGCTCCATTACTCCCCAAACCCAATTTGGAGGGTAATTACAGTAATTGTTTTGCTTTGCTTACTGTTTGTGTTGATTACCCCGTTCTTGCCAGCACGTGACTTGTCCCTGGATTCCTCTGGTTTCCCAGTTTTCAGCCTCAATCCCGGTTCTGGGGTGTGGAAGAATTAAAGCCCGGCTTAGTGGGAGCTCTGTCTGTGCTGCAGCTGCTCAGAGCTCCCAGGGCTCTCCCTTCCAGTCCTTAAAAAAACAGCACTTTGTTTTCCTGGCTTAACATCAGGGCCTCCAAGAATGCATAAGAGCCTAACCTAACATTAGGCCTGAGTGTGCTGGCTGGTTTAAAGCTTGTTAGGACGTGTTTACAGAGTCACTGCATGACTGGTGTGTTCAAATTGCCTCCCAGAGACAGTCCTGGCTCCTCACCTGACACTCCAAAATACAACAGTCCAAAATGTCCCAGGTTTAGGGGCATAAAATAAAACACAACAAGTTCCATCTTGACGTGAGGAAGGACTTCTTTCCACGGAGGGTGGAGCAGCTGCCCGGGAAAGGTTTGGAATCTCCCTCTCTGGAGGCATCCCAAACCCACCTGGACGTGTCCTTGTGTCACCCCTGCCCTGGGTGATCTCCAGAGGTCCCTTCAGGACTATTCTGGGATATGAAACAGCACCAGGACTTGATGGAGCCCCAGTTTTTAGCACAAGATGCCTCCTCCTCTGCCACGCAATTCCTGGTCATTCCCAGGAAGAAACATAAGAGGAGAAAGCTCATTTTGGTCAAAGTGGGATGGTCAGAGGGATCCTGGTATGGGATAAATCACTCCATCCCCAGCCCAGTTCGTGGTGGTTTTGGTCACAGCTGCACCAGAAAGGCACGTTGTGAGTGTGAGGAAGAGTGTGGGAAACTCAGGGGGAAGGGAGCAGCACCCTGGCAAAGCCACCAAAGCTGCTCATTCCCTGTTTAACACACGGAAAACCAGGGAAAAGAGGAACAACTGATCGATTTAGGGTTTCTCAGGACAACTTCAGATCCAGAAGGACTAAGAGTTACAGCTCCCCAGTCTTGGCCCAACTTGACCTGCTGTGATGAAGCAGCATGTTTGGAGCTCAGCCCCCTCAGGTGAGAGAAGCACAATCCCATTTAAATCCCCAAATATGCCCTGATTTGGAGAGGTGAATACTTGGCCAGCTCGATTTCAATAATATCATTAGGATAACAAACACAGGGCCGGCTTGTAATCCTCAGAACCAAAGGGATCCCAATTCCCAAGGTGTTTATCATGCCCTGACTCACGGAATCACGTGGGTGGCCCTGACACATTTATTTTCAAGCGACGCTATGATTCAATCCTGGGGAGTTTCAATCCCAGCAGCCTGTTATTAAACATCAGAGCGCCACAATACTTTGCATATATAAAATATTACCAGGTGTTTGCAAAACTATCCGAAAGCATTTCCTCAGAACACTTGCAATAAAGCGCTCTCTGCCCAGAGGATCCCCCCCCGAAATCGCTTCGTTTCCAGGAGGTGGGAACAAAGTTCATCATCGCACAGAAATATGTGGTGCATGTGCAGAAAGGAGGGAAATGGCCCCAGAAAGTGTTCAGCGTGTCCAGGTACAGTTTGTTTGGGTGGAAGGTCCCAAAGTCAGGGGGTCAACCAGACCTGCCACCCAACCAGAGCTACAGGTGGAGCTGTGGGGGGGAGGGGGAGATGAGCCACTGATTTGAATAGAATCGTGGAAACGTGGAATGGGTTGGAAGGGACCTTAAAGATCATCCTGTTCCACCCCCTGCCATGGGCAGGGACACTTTCCACTAGCCCAGGTTGCTCCAAACTGACCTTGGACACTTCCAGGGATCCAGGGGCAGCCACAGCTTCTCTGGGTAACCTGTGCCAGGGCCTCCCTACCCTCACAAGGAGGAATTTCTTCCCAATATCCATCCAAACCTCCTCTCTGTTGGTCTTAACCCACCCCTTTGTCCTGTCCCTCCATCCCTTCTCCAAAGTCTCTCCCCACATTCCTTGTAGCCCCTTCAGGTCCTGGAAGGCCCCAGTCAGGTCACCCCAAAAGCTTCTCTTCTCCAGGCTGAACAATCCCAACTCTCCCAGCCTTTCTGACGGATCAGAGCTGCTCCATCCCCCTGCTCAGCTCCTCTGGAGTGGCATTTCCAGCTCCAGATGTTCCTCCTTTGCCCTATTTCTGCCTCAGGCACTTCCCACAAAAGCCCCCCCTTGGCAGGAGCAGGGCTGGAGGAAGAGCCTCTCACACCCTCCTGGCATGAGCTGCCCTCCCCAGAGCAGCTCCAGAGGGAGCTTTTGGTTAAGTCCAACTTTCACAGGCATAAATTAATCTATTCTCCTGCCTCTACTTATTTATTTCCATGTACAAAATCAAGAGATGAGGCAGCAATTGCAGAATCACTGTTGGTAAAGGATTTTTGGGCTTCAAACTGGTGAAGTAACAAACAGTTTTGTGAACAGGTACATGGATATGAGTTGTTGGAGGAGCCTGAGAAGGGGAAGGGTCTGGGGAGTCAGTCCCCAAGTGGGGATGGGGCACAGGGTGATCTTGATGCCCTGGGAGAGCTTTTCCAACCTCAGGGATCCTCTAATTTCTCAAAACCAATGCCAAGGGCTTAAAAAAAAAATTATTATCCTAGAAATTACATTTATTATCTTTGTCTCTCTGCTTTTCTCTGTTCTCTTCTTCCCATTCAGGTCTCACACAGACACTTCCACGTTACTCAGCAGAGCTGTCCAACCACATTCAGAGGGTTGGGTCAGGTTGGCACGGGAAAAGTGTCTTGGTGACAATTAAGAGGTAGAGGGAGCACCGAGCCAAGTGCACACAGCCTGAAATATTCGGTGTTTCTTCCAGAAAAACCTGAAAACCAGAGGCCTTCAGGTGGCAGTACTATGATGTTACAGTTCAAACTGATCCTGTAGGTTCCTGGTTTGGAGTGGAACGTGGCTGACACCGGGTCATGCTTCTAGGAAGGCATCAGATGAGTTACCCATTTGATTCCTTGCCAGGTGACACTAGTGGGAAATACTACTATTTAGTGTTGACTATTTAGAAGGATGTGGTGCAAAATATACTGTCCCCCACTCAAACCCAGTGTTGCAACGTAATAAAGGGGCCTGGATCTTCACCAGGACCCTCCAATCTTTCCCAATTGCTGAATTACCCAAAACAATATCCCTTGAAAACACAAGTTACAAGGACAAAAACTCCAAAGACTGAGTTTGAATGCAACAGGACTTTAATGACAGGGAAGGGGCTGGGGAATACAGTCACACAGCACACACAGGAGGTTTCCAAAGGATCTGGGAAGTGATGCAGCTCCTCGTGGACCAGCAGAGTCCATCCCTTGTGCGTCACCGGGTTGCAGCTTCCCCAGGAGCTCAGCACAGCCCAGGGCTGCTGCGCTGCCAGGTGGGGCGGCCTCAGAAGTAAAAGTAGCCACAGTTTCCTCCCCCAAACCTCCCAGAACCAGAGCTGCCCCCTCCGTAGGAGCTGCCCCCTCCATAGGAACCCCCCCCATAGGAGCTGCCTCCACCGCAGGAGCCCCCGAAGCCCCCGCCAGAGGAGCTGGAGCCAAAGGATCTTCTGCCTCCATAGGAGCCCCCAAAGGACCTCCTGCCTCCATAGGAACCCCCGAAGCCAAAGGATCTACCCCCACCATAGGAGCCCCCAAAGCCCCCCATGGAGCTGCCCCCTCCATAGGATCCACCTATTCCCCCCATGGAGCTGCCCCCATAAGAACCCCCCATGGAGCTACCCCCATAGGAGCCTCCCATGGAGCTGCCCCCATAGGAGCCCCCCATGGAGCTGCCCCCATAGGAGCCCCCCATTCCCCCCATGGAGCTTCCTCCTCCTCCGTAAGAACCCCCAAAGGAGCCCCCCGAGCCCCCGATGGGTGCTGGCAGCGTGGTGCCCACGATGCTCTCCTGGGGGCAGGAGCTCAGGATGGGGCCTGGGAAGGTGATGACCACGGGAGGAGGGTAGACCACGGCCCGGGAGTCCCCGCAGGAGGTGACACAGGGCTGGCTGCAGGCGTCCACGTAGGGCTCGGGGCACGTCACCTCGCAGGGGGACGAGCAGCCACTGCTCAGCAGAGCTCCTGAGGACATCTTTGGGGATGGAGAAGAACCTGCAGCAGAATGGAAATCATGAGTTCAACACCCCCAGAGGCCAGAGGGGACAACAGATCTTGCTCTGGTGTCCTTCACCAGCGGGGAAAAAAGGGGGAAAGGAGAGTTTAGAAAGGTTCAGGTTTGTCCCTCTTCTGCATTTTCCCCAAGTTCCTGCTGCTCTAGCAGTGCTGGGAATGATGGGGAGCAAAGGGAAGCCCCATCTGCCTTTGGAAGCAGCTCATCCTCAAGACTTTGTTGGATCATCATATACATTTACATATAATGGTGGTAAGGGGCAATATTGAACTGGTCCAGGTGAGGAGCATCTATTGCTCCCAAAGCTGTCCTGAAGACACCTTTTGGGATGGAGAGAAACCTGCAGCACAGGCAGAGGAGTAAATTTAAATGCATACACAGCTCTGAGCCTTTACACACTCGCCACGATGATATAATTTATAGTTTCCTGACAGAAGGAATTATTGTCTTATAAACACGAGAGCAACTCTTGAGGAGTTGATCTTTTACTCCAGCTTTTCTCCACTCTGAGTAAAAGCCACGCTGGAAGTCGTTAAGTTGTGACCTCCTCATCAAACAATCAGGATTTAATTGACACTTTCCCTTTGTGGTTTGGGAGAACACAGGCTCGCATTTTAAGACCTGCTCCTGCCAATAATTGCTGTGACTGGCTACAAAAACCTCACCTGCCTAAGAAACAACCCAAAACTGGTGTTAGAGAAGCACAGAATCACCTGGGTCAGAAAAGACCTCCAAGATTATTAAGTCCATGTTGCTGATCATTGCTGAGCATTGACATTAAATTATTTCCCGAATTAAACACCAATAACGACATCCCAACTAATATAAAGGAACATAAACACACAGAACTTACCGAGGGCTCACCGAGGAGATCAAACTGAAGAGAAGCTGTTGGGGATCCTGGAGGAAACTCTGGGTTTTTATACCCTCCCAACAACTCCCAGGACATGCAACACACTTTGGGCCACGACACTTAAGCGGCGACACGTTTTGCTGTATAAGCTCCTTCTAATTGTAATAATTGCTTTGATAAGTGGCAATGATTAGTAAATCAGCTGCACATCATCCAATAGGCGCAACACACCCTCGGTCTTACTTTAATCCTGAAATAGTTTTTGTATGAATTTTGCGACTGGGGCCATTTGCTGACCTCGTTTGACTCTCCAGCTGAGCTCCCTTGGCTTTGGGGAGGCTGAAGGCAACAGGTTTTGCACCTTGAGCAACAGCAAAACACCAGTTTGGCTTGGCCAGGAGAAATGTTTTCTGTTCCGTGGAGGAAAATGGAATTTAGAATTGCGCAGAACGGGGAAAACGGGCAAATTTCCTCTTTGTGTCTCGTTTTTCCTGTTTAACACCCACCCCAGGGAGCTCCTTACAGAAGGGTTTAAACAGGTGAATTTCTTGGATTGTCCACTGCCATCCAAGAAAGCACCAGGAAGCACTGTGTGAGAGCAAGGAGTGATTTTCTCATCATAACTCTCCTGTTGCCACCTCTCAGGAGAGCTGCAATGTTCCAGAGGGACACACAGCTCTTGTCCTGGAGGCACCAGGAAAAATAAAATAAAAAAAAAACACAAATATTTTTGGCTGTGTAAAGGTGCTTTAATCTAAAACAAAATAAAAGAGCCTTAAGAATGGCCAAGGACTGGGTTGTTGGTGTTTTTTTTTCAGGAAAAGCACAGTGGTATTCCTGGATTTAAAACCCCTTGTTTTTTTGGGGAGGAAGAGACACAAATGCATCGACAGGAAGAGAGATCTCTGAGCAACAACCAGAAACATCATGAGAACTTAGAGGTGCTGGCTGGTTTTGTGGGGTTCTAACAGACAGGCCTTGCCCAGGGAGTCCCCACACCTGGAGATTGTCCCCTGGCCGTGGCACTGAGAGCTCTGGGCTGGGGGACAAGGTGGGGATGGGGCACAGGGTGGACTCTGTGGGCTGGGAGGGCTTTTCCATCCTCAGGGATCCTTTGATCATTCCATGCTTCATTTTTTTACCCACTGTAATGGTTTTATTTAATGTTTATATATAACAAACCCCCAGATCCCCGGTGTTCCTGCCCCCAGTCCGAAAGTAGAGCACAGGGAGCTGAGATGGTTAAATGATCTTGCAACAGAACATGAACAAGTCCTGTCAGGTGCCAGTGACAGCCCTTGATTTGACAGCTTTGCCTGTCAGCAGTTCTTCATTGACTCCTCAATTAACGTGAAACTTTCTGGTCTCCTGCAGTTGGGTTGAGAAATCTCAATTTACATGAGGAACCCCAGGCCCTGCTGCTGGTTCTCCCATTCCAGCACCACCAGTGAGTGGCAGCACTTTATCAACCCCCCCCCAAATGATTTCCAAGCTGGATTTGGAAGTGGGAGAGTGAAATATTGTGCATTAAACCTGTTTATCAGATCAATAAAACCCCTGTTAAGCATCTATACTTGTTCCAGCTTCAATTCCAGGGAACGCCGGGGACAACGTCAGCTGTGGGGGTCGGGGTGTGAGATCAAACACAAGGTGTGTAGGGCTTGTAACGTGACTTAGAATTAATTATAAAGTCATCACGTCACTTAAAGAACAATTAGACCGATTAAAGGAATAATCCATACAGCAAAACACGCTTTGGGGAGCGCGTGGGAAGCTCTTGCACAAAGCGTGGCTCCCATCCCACCGGTGGTCTGAGGAGCTATAAAAGAGCTCCCAGAGCTCCTCAGTCCCATCAGCGACAGCTCTTCCTCTCTACTCCTCCAGATCCGGTGAGTTGGACCTCCTTTTGCTTTCCCTGTGAACTATCAGGAAATTCCTTTCTGTCTTTCCCTGCGGGTTCGTTCTCCTGCGGGACTTGTGATGGCCTTTTCCCCGCTTTAAAATTTACAGCCTTTTAAATGCCTGAGTTTTCAGACAGCGCTGATGAATTGTGAGTCTGGATTTCCTCAGGCACTTGGATCAATTCAATATTGTTCCTTGCCACCGTCCTGTGTGTATTATGATCCAACAAAGTCTTGAGGATGAGGTGCTTCCAAAGGCAGATGGGGCTTCCCTTTGCTCCCCATCATTCCCAGCACTGCTAGAGCAGCAGGAACTTGGGGAAAACGCAGAAGAGGGACAACCCTGAACCTTTCTAAACTCTCCTTTCCACCTTTTTTCCCCCGCTGGTGAAGGACACCAGAGCAAGATCTGTTGTCCCCTCTGGCCTCTGGGGGTGTTGAACTCATGATTTCCATTCTGCTGCAGGTTCTTCTCCATCCCCAAAGATGTCCTCAGGAGCTCTGCTGAGCAGTGGCTGCTCGTCCCCCTGCGAGGTGACGTGCCCCGAGCCCTACGTGGACGCCTGCAGCCAGCCCTGTGTCACCTCCTGCGGGGACTCCCGGGCCGTGGTCTACCCTCCTCCCGTGGTCATCACCTTCCCAGGCCCCATCCTGAGCTCCTGCCCCCAGGAGAGCATCGTGGGCACCACGCTGCCAGCACCCATCGGGGGCTCGGGGGGCTCCTTTGGGGGTTCTTATGGAGGAGGAGGAAGCTCCATGGGGGGAATGGGGGGCTCCTATGGGGGCAGCTCCATGGGGGGCTCCTATGGGGGCAGCTCCATGGGAGGTTCTTATGGGGGCAGCTCCATGGGGGGAATAGGTGGATCCTATGGAGGGGGCAGCTCCATGGGGGGCTTTGGGGGCTCCTATGGTGGGGGTAGATCCTTTGGCTTCGGGGGCTCCTATGGAGGAAGGAGGTCCTTTGGGGGCTCCTATGGAGGCAGAAGATCCTTTGGCTCCAGCTCCTCTGGCGGGGGCTTCGGGGGCTCCTGCGGTGGAGGCAGCTCCTATGGGGGGGGTTCCTATGGAGGGGGCAGCTCCTACGGAGGAGGCAGCTCTGGTTCTGGGAGGTTTGGGGGAGGAAACTGTGGCTACTTTTACTTCTGAGGCCGCCCCACCTGGCAGCGCAGCAGCCCTGGGCTGTGCTGAGCTCCTGGGGAAGCTGCAACCCGGTGACGCACAAGGGATGGACTCTGCTGGTCCACGAGGAGCTGCATCACTTCCCAGATCCCTGGGAAACCTCCTGTGTGTGCTGTGTGACTGTATTCCCCAGCCCCTTCCCTGTCATTAAAGTCCTGTTGCATTCAAACTCATTTTTGGCCTAAGGTTTTCTTTTTCACCTTTTCACCTGCAACCTCAGATTGCCCTGAGCTGGCTGAAAACCTTTTGAGGGAGTCTCTGAGAGACCTCCAGAGGCCCTTTTTAGGTGACAGCAGGAATTTGCAGCAGTGGAAAATGTTGCAGCCTGTGACAACATTTCAGGGTTCACGTGGCTGAACTGGAATTCCACCTCCCGACGGTGGAATTTCACCTCCTCCTGGCACTGTGGGATTTTCCCTCCTCGCTGCAAGAGCTTCACAGTGATTTCAAGCAAATTATCTAATTGGTTTCAAATTGAGCCTGTTTCTCCAGCCCTATTAAGGCTTTGCTTGGAGCTGATGAATTTACTGTCCGCTGTCATTAATGACAGATTAAAATCCCTTAATTCCTTAAGCACTGGGAAATCAAGCAGTTACTCAAGTGAGTGTCATCTCCTGTTCTTTCTACCTCCAGAGAAGCTGTCAATTCAAATCTTTGTCACTGCCATTTTCACTTTGGTTTTTTAGGGGGAGGAAAATTAGATTTTTCCAAGTCAGGAATCTGCCACAGGGACACTTTGTGTTCTGGCTCTGCTGACAACCCCTGTGTTTCAGTTTGTCCTTCCCAACTTTCTGAACATCAGCAATTCTGTCGTTCAACAGGAAGCATTAAAAAAAAAAAAAAAATTAAAATTCTTTCTTGGTTTCCTGATCTGCCTCCTGTGTTTTCCAAGGAACATCCAAGGGAGTGGAGCCTGGTTTTAGGACATCTTGAGCTTTCAATAGGCTTGGAGACTCACCCATCGGTCTCTTTGTGTTTCTACTCGCAAGAGTAGCTGCGAAAACAGCGATGCAAGGTGTGATTTCTGCTCTTGTGTCACTCACCCCTTAGGAAATCCTCTCTTGCACACCCTGGTGATGTGAAAGCACATTTTGCTGTGATATAACTGCAGCCCTTTGATGGGACCACGGTCAAAAGCAATTTCTACAAGTATTTGGCACTGCAAGCTCGAGGTGACGAGTCAATTAAAGTTTCTTTGGTGGGTTTTCTTCGGTTCCCGTTCCCCAGCCCTCAAAGAAATGTGGGTTTAAATTGATTTGCATTCTTTAGGCACTTCTGACAACATGTTTGAGTTGTCTAAACCTCAGGCATCTGCAGGGAACCACAATAATTCCAATAAAGTGATTCTAAATGAAATGTGGTGATAGAATGGATGGGGTGTCGGGCTCTGCTCCCAGCGAACAAGGGACAGGACGAGGGGAAACAGCCCCAAGCTGTGCCAGGGGAGGGTCAGGTTGGCCATGAGGAGGAATTTGTTGCTGGAAAGGGTGGTCAGGCCTTGGAAGGGGCTACCTAGAGAGGTGGGGGAGTCCCCACCCCTGGAGGTGTCCAAGGAACGACAGGACATGCCACAAAAACCTCAAGTCACCACCTCCAGAAACCTCCGTGACCCACAAAGAACCACTGAACTCTTTTGTGCGCTTAAATTTGGAACGTTTCCTTCAACCCTCCCTTTACACAACTCCTTGATTACTTCAGCAATTACCATAAAAACCACATAATTGCTGCTCTCAGGCTCCTGAACCAGCTCTAGGAAGTGCAACGAGTTTTAGTGGGAAGGATCAGACCAGAAACAGTCCTGCAGAGAAAGGAAAGCTCGACAAAAGGTGATGATGCAGGAGGATTTTATTGGGATACACCAGGGAAGGAGGTGGCATACGACACAAAGCAGACACTCCTTCAAGCACTGGCTGAGAAAGAGTCCATCTTCCACCCACTGTTCTTCTCCTGTCATGGTTGTATTGACAAACTCCACATCAGGCCTTTCGAGTTGTTCTCTTTTTTCTTTGGGTGGCCCAATTGAAGGAAGTGCAGGATGATCAGAGGAGCAGTCACTGATAACAGACAAAGGCAGAAAAGCAGCAGAGAGGTGTGGGCCCACTTTTCAGAGGTGCTGGGCCAGGCTGGCTCCTGTTGTTGCTTTTACCACCTCTGGAAGCCAGTCCCAGCGGAGGGTCCGGATTGTGCATTGTCATCTCCTGGTTCCTCGAGGGGTCTGGGGGTTTTCAGGTGCCTTGAAAGGAGCCTCAGTTTCCCAGGCGGGACCCACGGCTGCTGCTGGTGTAGAACCTCCTGCTGTAACACCCCCCTATCCCCGAGGAGCCTCCAGATCCACAGGGGCTGCACCAGCCAGAGGAACCCCCCATGCCCGACATGCCCCCAGAGCTGTAGGAGCCCCCAGATCCAGAGGATCCCCCAATCCCTGCCATGCCCCCAGAGCCATAGGAGCCCCCAGAGCCATAGGAGCCCCCAGAGCCATAGGAGCCTCCAGAGCCATAAGAGCCATAAGAGCCTCCCATCCTGGGGGTCAGAGCACCGGAGGACTGGGGGAAGGACGATCCCACGATGGTTTCCTGGGGGCAGCTGCTGAGGATGGGGCCTGGGAAGGTGAGGACCACTGGAGGGGCATAAACGACGGCTGTGGAGTCACCACAGGCTGCAACACAGGAGCCAAGGCCTCTGCTGTAGGCACAGGGCTCGGGGCAGGTCACCTCACAGTTGGCCAGGCACCGGGAGCTGATGCTGCTCATGGTTCTCAGGGTTGGTGGTGGAGCTGGAGAAAGACAAGGTGGGAAGTCAGGAAACCACCACGGCCACCACGGGGCTGATGGGTTCCCATCACACACAGGGCAGAAACGGTGGGCAAAACCCTTGTCCTTCCTAGTCACAGAATCCCAGAATCCCTGAGGTTGGAAAAGCCCTCCCAGCCCATTGAGTGCCCCCTGTGCCCCATCCCCACCTTGTCACTCAGTGCCACAGCCAGGCCTTCCTTGGGCACCTCCAGGGGTTGGGATTCTCCCACCTCCCTGGGCAGTGCCTGTCAAGGTCTGACCACCCTTTCCATGGGGAAATTCCTGCTGATGCCCAACCTGACCCTCCCCTGGCACAGCTGGAGGCCGTTCCCTCTCCTCCTGTCCTTTGTTCCCTGGGAGCAGAGCCCAACACTCCCCGGCTCCCCGCTCCTGTCAGGGAATTCCAGAGCCAGAAGGTCCCCCCTGAGCCTCCTTTTATCCAGGATGAGCCCCCCCAGCTCCCTCAGGACTTGTCCAGCCCCTTCTCCTGCTGCTCCAGCTCCATTCCCTTCTCAGGACACACTCCAGCCCCTCCATGTCCTTTCTGAATTTAAAGCCCTTTAAATCCTCCTGTCCTGTGGTACCTTTTCTTCCTCCCTTCCTGCCTCTGTGGAGGATGCCCAGGACTCTTCTTTATCCAGTAGAGTTAAACTTTATATTCGCCCCCTCAAGTTTTGAAAGCCATAAGAAAAAATGAAGGAACTCTTAAAATCCTCTTTAAATGTCAAATTGGTTTCTACTGCCATCTCCAACTTACTGCAGGGAGTCTCCCATGAAAAGCAGGATTTCACTGCCACAAGTCAAGGCTAAAATCACAAAGTACAGGCCCAGGAAAGAGTCCTCATTTAAACTAAACAGAAACACCCCAGATAGGAAGCATCAGCTTAAATCCAACTTACCTGGAGTAGCAGGAGAAGTCAGGAGAAGGTTTTAGGAGACTCCCGAGATGTTCCTGCTTTTATACCTCTTTGCAGGCATCTCAAGGGATGTGAAACCATCTCATAAAATCTCCACCACTTACCAAATGGTGATTTTTTTTTTCCCCCCCTTTGTGACTCCTCTGATGCTGGTAATTATTTTTCATAGTTTCTAATTAGCAAATCAACCCCAGACATATACAATGCGAGTCTCATATCATAAATTTGAGTGTTTTACTGGGCTGAAATTTTACAGCCCAGTGGCTGTGCAATCTCCCTCTGATGACATCACTGCATTTACAATGGAAACTGACCCCTGCTTATTGTTTTCTGCTAATGGTTTGCCAGGTGGGCCCCAGAAAGATCAGCCTTCCACATCTGCTTTCGGCGTGAGCTGATGCTGAAAAATATGAAATAATTTTGAAGATCCACCTCATTCCTGAAGAATTTCAGGGAGGGTTTTTTTCATGGAAAGGGTTGGAATGGAGGGCTTGCCCAGCTAAAATGGTTCTGTGATTTTTGTGACCCACCCTGATGACTTTTGGGCGTCTCCACCGGCGCCCTCGTGACAAGGCTCTGATCACGACATCCCCAAACGAGTTTTGACGCATAATTGGGTGAAATTACTTCGTGTCACGCATCACCCCAACCCCCTTGATCCGTGTTTTGATGTATCATCCCTTTGGGTCACTGGATTCAGGAAGGGTTACAAAGAATCCTCAACATCCCCCCTAATCCGAGGTGGGGTCGGGCGATTCCATCCGGGAGGGATTATCCCAAAATCCAAGGCTTACACCCCAAATGTGGGACTGACACATCAGCAGCCTCCTTCCTCCAGGTCACTGAAGAGAAGTCAACACCAGAGATCAGCTCCTGTTTGCTTTGGAACCAGAATGATGCCTAAAGGATTGTTCTCCCTGAAGTTCGAGACAAAAGGGACTGTTGGGTGTTGGATTTGTGTCGCTCAAAGCAGGGCTGTAAATGGAGCCCTAAATAGGAGCTGGAATGGAGACAATCACAAGGCTTAAGAAGGGATCTCTTTCTTTGTAAGTGACATGAATTTGGTAAATGATGGATGATCTCACATCCTCCTTATTGTCTCAAAAAACTGTATAAAAAGGGGAGAGAACTGAGATATCTTCTATTCTTCCAGCTCCACTGACTTATTCCTCCAAGACAGCAGGGTAAGTCTGACTTCACTGCACTTCTCTGTAGCTACAAAGCAGTTAAAACTCACCTCTTTATTTTTTATCTTGCAAAATTCTAGCAATTTTTTTAAAAGCTGAGGTAGAGAAGAGTAGATTTAGCAAGAATCCTTGGAAAAGCTGGGGGAATGGAAAGAACAGAGCAAGGAAGATTTTCCTTGGAGACTTTTTGAAGCTGCAGGCAAATCTTCCTGCAAGTCTGCTTGGGAAAGAGAATTAATGGGACTTTTCTGATCAAGGAATTGTAAAAGGGTCAGAGAGGCTTTAGTCCCAGAGAACATTTTTTGGAGAGATTCAGAAGAATAAGAGAAGTGGGTGGTGGGAAGGGAAGAAGACCTGAGAAGCCATAAAACAGGTCAGGAAGGAAAAAGCCAGGAAAAATGGAATCTGTGAGGGAGGGTTGGTCTGTGAGTAGATTGAGGAGAAGGAGAAGGAGCCTGTGGGCACCTGACTGTGGTGGTTTCTTGAACTGCAGGTCGTCTTTCCCAGCTTTGCCTCAGTTTCCCAGGAATGATGCTGAACAGCAGCAGCTCCGAGTGCCTGCCTGGCTGTGAGGTGACGTGTTCCCAGCCCTGTGCCTACAGCAGGAACCTGGAGCCCTGTGTTGCGTCCTGTGGGGACTCCAGAGCCGTGGTGTTCGCCCCTCCAGTTGTCCTCACCTTCCCAGGCCCGACCCTCAGCAGCTGCTCCCAGGAGAGTGTTGTGGGAACATCCTTTCCCCCGCTGTTTGGGGCTCTGACCCCGAACGGCTCCGATGAATCCTGTGGGATGGGGGGCTCCTTTGGGTCTGGAGGCTCCTTTGGGTCTGGAGGCTCCTTTGAATATGCAGGTCCCTCAGGGATTGGGGGTTCCTTTGGATGGGGGGGCTCCTCTGGGTCTGGGGGCATGTCAGGGATTCAGGGCTCCTTTGGCTCTGGGGGTCCCTGTGGGTATGGAGTGAAGGGTTCCTTTGGCTCTGGGGGTTCCTTTGGTCCTGGGGGTTCCTTTGGATACGGAGGTTCCCCAGGGATGGGGGGCCCTCAGGGCAGGAGGTTCTACAGCACCCGCCGAGGGTCCCGCCTGGGAAACTCATCCTAAGACAACCTCACAGCAACTCAGGAGCTGAAAACACCCCATGCAGATGCTCAGCTGGGCCTGGTGTTCAGAGCCCCCTTGCTCAGCACCCTGGAAACCAAGCCCACAGCCCCTTCTGGCCCCTCGTGCCTCACCCTCTACCCGAAGCAGTTCTGTGGGATGGTGTCTCTCCTTGAACCCCCCCCACCCCGTTGTTCCTGCCCTGTGTCCTTTCTGGTGGAGTGGAAATGCTTCAGGAGAATTGCAAGTGGGACTTTGCTGCTGGACCTTGGGACATGCAAGTGGCTTTTGTCACCAGCAAGGGTGGCCAGGCAGCCTTTGGACCATGGAACAGGCCAGCCATGAGTTGCACTGTTCCATTCCACAGCACTTACTTCATTAAAACTCCTGTTGAATTGCATCCATAGCCTGCTGGTTTTCCTTTCCACAGAATCACTGAGGTTGGAAAAGACCTCCAAGACCATCAAGTCCAACCTCTGACTGGTCACCATGCAACGAGGTCACCCCTAAGCCCTCCTATCTCACTGTTCTTTCTGTGTAGGGAAGAACTTCTACAGTTTTAGTGGCTGAGCCTGGCAGGGATCGTTCCCAAGTAGCCATTTCAACCTGGGGACATTGTGGATAATGGATAATTCAGGGGACAATAACAATTATTCTGGATGATGTGGTTTGCAGAGAGTGGGTGGTGAATGCACCTACACTCAGCTTCACACAGTTGGACTCACACAGGACTAGGAGCAGCAACGCTGAGTCTCATCCATATAAACTCTGACTGCAGTGAAGGTGATGCCTCCCAGTTTATCCAGGAGAGTTACACCCCCACACAGGTCTTGCTCAACAGACTGGAGAATGAAAGGTTGAGTAATGAGAGTGAAAATTACTGGGCCATTTGTTGCCTCAACCTTCTCTGCAGTCTAAGCCAGGACTGAAACTGCAGAGTTCTCAACAGCTGGGCAGCAACTTGGGTACTTCCTACAGACCCTTGACAAGGGCCTGGAGAGACAGGACAAGGGGGGATGGCTTCAAAATGACAGAGTGGAGTGTTAGTTTGGATATTGGGAAAAAAATTTTCCCTGTGAGGGTGGGGAGGGCTTGGCACAGGTTGGGCAGAGAAGCTGTGGCTGCCCCTGGATGCCTGGAAGTGTCCAAGGCCAGGTTGGAGCAACCTGGTCCAGTGGAAGGTGTCCCTGCCTGTGACAGGGGGTGGCACTGGATGGTCTTTAAGGTCCCTCCCAACACAACCCATTCCATGGGGAACACACCCCAGATCTGCTGCTCAGGCAGTTCTGGCAAGGGTCATGCACGAAGCACTTTGTGATCCTCAGTTTTTGGGGAGCACCAGGGGCAGCCACGTCGATCCTGAGGGATCCCACGGCGATGCTTAACAGGCTCAGAGCATTTACTGCACTAATGCTCCAATTAAGGTGACAAACCACAAGGATTAAGACAATCAAAGGAAGGAAATTAATGCTGTGCTTGGCACAGCAAGCACTTGCTCAGAGCCCCTGTCATGAAGAGCAGCACAATGGAAAGGGCTCCCAAAAAAAAATATTGATGCAGCTGCTGGGGTAAATTTCTCAGACTTTACAGCACTTTGCAGAGTGCAAGACTTGTGGTCAGACTCTTGATTGCACCTCAAGAACTTCTTTCCCTTTCTTTTGGCTTGGTTTCCCAACAACATTCATATCCAGACTAACCCGCTTATCTGTAATCAGATAAACTATTTTATCATCAAGGCTAGATACAGCAGAGCACATCTTTGTCTTCTGATGGGACTCTTGCAGTTATTTCAACCCCTGCTGAAGGTCAAAACAATTTCCTCTGGGATATTTAAAGGGTGACTGGTAAGGACCTTGCTCCAAAGGTCCTTTGGTTTTGAGTGGGAGCTGCACCAGCCCATCTCCAGAGGCCCTTCCAACCTCAATTATTCTATGATTCTGTTCTATTTATTAGTATGGATATTGTGGCATGGATCAAGAAGGGGGAAAAAATACTTTATTGGAGAATTTCTGACAAATTATGGTCACCATGCAATGGAATTAATTCTCCTCTGATGGTAACACTCAATTACTGCACAAGAATTGATGCACCAGGTTGGCTTCTTTCAGGCTGGTCTGTAACTCTGAAACTGGGGTGGAAATGAAAGCCAGAAGACAGGGCTGTGATGCAACAGGGCTTTTAATACCAACAAAAAGTGAAATACATTCTTGCAGGGTGAGGCAACACAGAGACAAAGAGCATCATTTCCATTTCGTCCTTCAGAGGAGCTCGGTGCTCCCAACACATTCTGTTCACCAGCTGGACACTTCCACAGTCCATCCAGTCCCATGACTTGTTTTACCCTCTTCGGGTTCAGGAAGTACAAAACACAGCATGAGCAAGTGACAAAGGGAGGCAAGAGTGGGATCCCAAGCCTTGGACAAAGCGCAGCGAGACCCAAAGCAACCCCAGCTCCGACCGACACCAGCTGGAGCAGGGGCTGCTTGGCTGGTCTGTGTCATCTACTTAGTCTGTATCCTATTTTTTCCTTTGCACATTTCCTCGCTCTTAAAGGGTTAAAAAGGCCCGTAGTTCCCGTAGCGATACCTGAAATACCCTCTGGAAAAATAGGGGTAAGAATTCCTCCCGAAGCCCGAGAAATAGGAGTTCCGGTAAATGCTCCCCAAACGTGAGAACCCACCGCCACATGAGCCCTCCCCACCATAGGAGCCCCCTCCCATGCCCCCACAGGAGCTGCCAGAGCCCATCCCATAGGAGCCACCTCCACCACAGGAGCCACCATAGCCCATCCCTCCCCCTCCAGAACCCATTCCTCCCCCGCCATAGCCCATCCCTCCCCCTCCAGAACCCATCCCTCCCCCTCCAGAACCCATTCCTCCCCCTCCAGAACCCATTCCCCCACCTCCAGAGCCCATCCCTCCGCCTCCAGAGCCCATCCCTCCCCCTCCAGAGCCCATCCCTCCCTCGATTTCAGGGATGGCCGTCCCAACGATGCTCTCCTGGGGGCAGGTGCTGATGATGGGGCCCGGGAAAGTCACGACCACGGGCGGAGCGTAGACGATGGCCCTGGAATCCCCACAGGAGGCGGCGCAGGGCTCGTTGCAGCAGTTGACGTAGGGCTGGGGGCACGTCACCTCGCAGGGGGAGGCGCAGCGGGCGCTGATGAGCTGCCCGTAGGAGGACATCCCGCCAAGCACCGAGTCAAAACCTGGACGGGCAAAAAAGCCCCCAACCCCGGGTCAAGTCACGGCCAGAACAAGCTGTGCCACCCACCCCCACGTGGGGTGGTCTTTCAGCTGGGCCCTTGCGGGTGTGAATGTTTGAGTTGCCTGAACAATACGAGTCGGAGGTTTAAAAACCAGGAGGGTGAAAAAGGATTGTCATTTCTGAGGCCCAATCTATTCCACTCAGAAGCAGATCAGTGAAGTGAGGTGGATTGCTGGGTAGAGGCTTCTGAGCCTGCTCCCACTCCTCTCTGGTGCCCCGTTGAGTCATGGAATGGTTTGGGGTGGAAGGGACCTTAAAGGCCATCCACTCCCACCTGGGATGGTGGGATGTCCCAGGGACACCTTCCACCAGCCCAGGTTGCTCCAAGCCCTGTCCAGCCTGGCCTTGGACACTTCCAGAGATCCAGGGGCAGCCACAGCTTCTCTGGGAAAATCTGTGCCAGGGCCTCCCCACTCTCCCAGGGAAGGGTTTACTGTAAAGATTTGCCCTGTAAGCTCTTCCCTCTGCCCTTCCCTCACATCCTTCCCTTTGCTGTACCTTTTGCCTGAGAGTCCACCCCACGCAGATCCTGGCTTTGGAGTGACCCGTCCCCATTCACAGATGCTCAATTCCTAGAAATTCCTCATATAAACCCTTTTAAAAATTTCCCATTCCTTTCCACCAACTCCCCCCTCCCCCATGAGGTGATGCCTTTATATTTCATACTTTAATTTACAACTCCCGTTTTGCAAGCAGAACATTTTGAGAGAAAGCAGAAGCTCCCACCCTGCCTCGGGCCCTGCCCCTGTCACCACTGACTCTCCCTTACAAAGCCACGTGCCCAATTATGAGCTGATTCAGTTAAATCTGACTTACCCAGTCACCCAGAAGTACAATCAGCAGGGGCAGCTCCCGGCACCCGAGTGATGAGCACTTTTATAGGCTGTCACGGAGGAGAGAAATGGGGAGAACAACCTTTACGTAACCACCCCGCTACACCTTGGGAAATGGAATGTTTTCCCCCTGCCAGGGCCTTCCTTTGTCGCAACTGTTTTGATCCCGGCTTATGATCATTAGATAATTTCCAATCCCACACAAGGGGGTGGCTTCACCCATCCTGGCCCTTCGCTGAAGCGGCTGTGAGGTCGATTTTTTTGGCTTCGAGGCTCGCGGTGAGGGGGTTGGATTTGCTCCTGAACGCTTTGTGGGTGTCTGTCCGTGGCCCTCCTTGGGTTTTGTGTCTTGGGATTGTCCTGTGGATGGATTTCTCCGTGACTCTTGTCACCAAGTAGAAAATAAGAGACACCAAAGCACTTCCTGGCCAAGGATTCCATTAGAAATTCAGCTGAAGGGAAGCTCCTGCCCAAGGTTTGACAGTTTACCAGCAGTTCCTCATCTCAAAGACTCAGCCCCTTCAGAATAAACGGGAAAAAAATCTTTCCTCTGGGTCCTCTAGCCCTGCAGGTAATTGTTCTTCTCGTATTGGCCTCTAACAAATGTATTCACAAAGGAAAATTTGATTTCTTTTTGGTTGTCAGTACTTTTTGTGTGCTTATTCTCAAGGATCACAAACATATTCACAAAGGAAAATTCATTTTCTTCGTAGTTTTCAGTAATTTTTTTCCCTGTTTATTAAGCAAATTATTTTATTTACATTTCATGACTCTGAAATCCTTTTAATGACCAGAGGAATGTACAGTGGATAGGACAGGAAGCTGCCCAGAACACTGTGACTCACATAATTTGTGGGAATTAAAAGTAACTGCTAATTACAGTGATTGACAGCTGAAACAATTAAAGGAGTTACTAAACCAAATATTTGAGAAAAGTCAGTAAGAACTCGGTTTCATTGTCTTTGAGGCTTTTCCAACGTGGAGAAAAATGGTTGAAATGACAGTTTTTAACACATAAAAAAATATCCCAGTGGTCTGATCATCCCCCCAGTTTGGTTCCTGTAACTGGTGCAGATTTCAGGGCATCCTCAACTTGCCCTTGTTGAATTCCAGGCCCTTGCAGCCCTGAAACCCTTTCGAAAAAAAAAAAGATGAGCTGCCAAAAGCAAACAACTGGCGAAGGTCCAACCCCTCCTTTCACAACAACCTGAACTGACATCAAAGAGCCCTTTCCGAGATAAGACAAGCAGGTCCTCCCTCTGCAGGTGAAAGATAAGCCCTCCTGAAAGCAGGAATTAAAAAAAAAAAAAACACCAGGGGGATTCTGGCCTTTTCCTGAGAAGAATTTACCTGATGCTCTCACAGGAGAGGATCCAAAAACTCACCTCCCATGGAAAAATTCCAGTGGAAAGATTCCTCATCTTGGTTGGGTTTTTTTTTTCCCTGGTGGTGTTGTTGTTGATGATGTTGTTGTTGTTGTTGATGTTGTCAGCAAGCTGATTTTGCGGTTTTGGAAATACCACTGGGTGCTCTGATCCCTCCGAGCTGCTTTGCATACTGAGATTAAATCTCCCAGAGGAAGCTGCTGCTCTTGCTCCTTCCTGGGCCACTCTATAATTTGCTGTAATTGGGCTCCAATCTCAGCTGTCTGAAAGGAAATACTCTGTGTTATTACCACATGTTGGGGAGCAGAACTTTGTCCTTACCCTTCATTTTTTTTTCCCCTAGATTTTTATCGCAGCAATTCCAGGCTTGGGAGGGGAAAAAAAAAAAAACCAACAAAGCAAACAGAGCCGGGTTAAAATAAAAATAAATAAACATTTAAATTAAAAACAAATAAACAATTTAAAAATAAATAAACAATTTAAAAATAAATACAAGGGTAAAATTTGGGAATTGTTGGACAATGGATCCTGGATATCCATATTTTGGACCAAGTTTCCAGTGCGAGCTGTCACCTGGAATCTTATTTCCAAACCCACTCAGAATGGAGGGTCAGTGAGTGTTTTTTTCATTGCTATCTGCAATGAATAAGGATCTAAGTTAGATCCCCATTTATTAGCTGTATATTCAGTGTTACTCCATTGCTCCCACCAGAGCAGGGTCTCAGTTCTGCACTTTAATATTCATTGGAATTTCTGGTTTATATCAACTCAATTCCCTGTAAAAAATAAACTCCTAAACCCCTCTTCCTCCTCTCCCCTGCATTTGGGGCTGTCAGAGATGTCCTTTATTCTTTTTTTAGAACCCAAAACTCCTGCCCATCACCCAGTAAAGCAAAACAAGCCCAAGCTGGATGTGGTTGTGTAACCCTGTGGTTGCCAGAGGAGAAAGGAGGATTTAGGGATGAGATTTAATTCCTGATGTCCTTTGAGGGCACTGGAAGTTTAGAAACCCTGCTGATATTGAGACGCTGTGTTCAGCCACCTCTGCAAGTTCCAGTTTCCATCTTCACAAAGATCCATCTCTTCTGGTTTGTTTTTTTTTTTGTGTTTTCCACACTCCTCATTTAATCCCCTTGAGCAAAAATCACCCTGATCCCAAGGGGAACCTTCATCTACTCATCTCCCATTTTCATACCTCAGCCTCAACTAAAAGCATTTAATGGCAAAACACAGCTCCTGTTCCCTGGATTTCCTCTGCCATGCAGAGATCTGGGGACATTTTTGCAGCTCCAGCTCAACAAAAGGTGGTGATTAAATAATTATGAACCCAAATAACCCTGAAACTGTGGAATTGCTCCCCACCACTAAATGGGATTTGCCTGGAGCTCTGGAATAATGACAGTGCCACAATCTCACCAGGGCATCTTTCATCTTCCAAACAAAACACAGCTAATGCTCTTTAATACCCCCAATAAAACCCGAGGGGATGTGGAACTGCAGCCCAAGGTGGAATTAGGGGCTGGGTGCCTGGGTGTCATTCAGCTCTGTATAAAAGCTGGACAATGTGCCCCTCTCGGGCTTCCCACAACTCAACCATCACCCCAACGCGTTTTCCAGGTCAGAGTCACCTTGACCAGCAGGAAGGTTGGAGGATTCTGAGAGCTACTGGGTCGTCTGAAGCCCCAGGGGTGGGAAAGGGGGATGGAACAGCTTTGATAGGGCTCAATAAATCAGCTCAGCCCCTCCCCATCCTCCCCACCAGATGAACCTTCTGAGCTGCCAGGAAGATGCCAGGAGAGACAGTGAGGGGCTGGAGCATGGCCAGGGAAGGGAATGGAGGTGGGGAAGGGGTTGGAGAAGTCCTGAGGGAGCTGGGGGGGGCTCAGCCTGGAGAAAAGGAGGCTCAGGAGGGACCTTCTGGCTCTGGAATTCCCTGACAGGAGTGGGGAACCAAGGGGGGATTGGGCTCTGCTCTCAGGGAACAAGGGAACAGCCTCAAGCTGTGCCAGGGGAGGGTCAGGTTGGGCATCAGCAGGAATTTGTTGCTGGAAAGGGTGGTCAGGCCTTGGCAGGGGTGGACTTGGTGACCTGGGAGGGCTTTTCCAATGATTCCAGGTGTGGTAGAGATGTCTATAAGTCCGTTTCTTAGGAAGGTGGGTGCTCATGAGTCCAGGTTTTGGGTTACTTGGAGTGTTTTAGAAGTTCCACCCTTGCCCACAATCCACTTTTACACTGGGTTGGTGCCTGTGGCATGTGCAGATCCTGCAGAGTGGATTCCCATTCCTGTCTCACCTCATGGCTCACAGAGGTGTGGTGCTACTATCCCATTTAATAATCCATTAATTCATAAAGATATTAATTAAATCTTCACTTGGCTTCATTGCCTAATTAAACCTGTTAGTCTCAGCAGGAAAAAACTGGCGGCTGACTTTGAGTTCCTTCAAGGCTGTTAAACTAAATGAGTGCTGAGCTGGTGGCACAGAACCCAGTTAAATGAATTTAACAGTTCAACTTGGAGAGAGAGAGAGAGAAGGTTCTTTCTTTTCACAGGAGGGAAAGCAGAGTTCTGTTATCCAGGGGAAATACTGGAAATTATGGTGCAGATATTGGCTTAGCACTGATTTGTCCAGCTCAGGACAACAAGGGTGACAGCTGAGCTTGAGGAAAAAGCTCCTTGCTCCCAGGAACTTCACCAGGAAG